GTGTTTGTGCCATGCAGGGAATTTCAAAAGCCCCTGTGAGGGTTCCTTCCCTGCTGAGCCTGGATGGGGCCTCGCATGCGCTGCTCGGAGAGAGCAGCAACAAAGGGGTTATTGTTTCTCTGTCCAGTTTCTTCAACAGGAAACTGTGTTTAAAAACACCATTTCTTAAAAAAGATTTGCTTGACAGTCTTTTCTGCAGTCTGTGCTTCTTCCCACTCTGCTTATATGGGTTTTTTTTCCCTGATGTAGGGGTCAATACCACTAATTTCCTAGTATCACTATTCTCCTTTTCCCCTGTGGCTTCTTGCATTTAGGACCCTGAGTTTCACCCCTCATGGTTCAGAGGCCAGGACATGGATTATCCAGCTCCTACAAACACAGTTGAAGTCACAGAACACAGATTAAAGAAAAAAAAAAAAAGGCACAAAGAAGAGGCTCCAAGGGTTAGGGGATGTTGAGTTGAAAAATGTTCCATCAGGTTCTGCTCTGGCTGTGCTGGAGCTGCCTGGGGCAGCGTGGGGAGCGGGTGAATGAGGTGCCCAGGAAGGAGGCTGGGTGCCAGCTGGGCAGTGTGACCCACTGGCAGCTCTTTCCAAGGCTTCTGGGAAAAGAAAAGTTGGAAAAGCCCTGGGCATTGGTCTGCCAGCATGGGGAAACCTTCCTGGAGGAGAGGATGTGTCGTGACTGGGATAGCAAGGAGGAGGCAGAGGGGAGGACTGAGTTGAACTTGGGGTTTGCTTTGTGAGGGGGATGCTCAATGTTCCCTCTCCATGGGGGAGCTTCCAGGCTGCACAAAACCTTGTGTGGATTAGAAACATCCCCACTTTCTGGGGGTCAGGCTGCTGTTCCAGGTACCAACAGACCAGGGAAGGAGCTGTATGTGATCAGATGCTGCCTGAGGATGCACCACAAACAACTTTGCAGCCAAAAAGTGCCATCTTTAGACTAAAAAAAAAAAAAAAAAAGGTTCCAAAGAGCTCAGTATGCACTTTACAGTGCTTTTTCCTTTATGCAAGCAGAGGGAAGATGTTACTTGGAATTGTAACCTGATGTGTTGACCCTGTGCTGGACCTTTGGGTATCAGGGGCATGGTGGGGACTGGAGAAATTCTGAATAGTCCCAGTGGTGGGTTTGGTTCTCACTGGAAACTTTCACACATGTCTCCTTTCAAGGACTTTTGCAGCACTCTAAGCCAGATTTCATGAAGGGCAGAGGGAGAGTGAGCACCTTGTCAGCTGTCCCAAGCTGTGTGGAGGAAGGTCTGCCTGCAGAGCCCAATTTCTCAGCTCTAATTACAGGAATGGGTGGCTTTTCCCTTCTCAGGCTGAAAAAAAATTGGCCCAAAACCCTGAGAAACCACAACACAAATGTCTGACGCTGTTCCACATGGTCCTCAGCGAACAAAAACTCTCTTGAAATCAGCCCTTGCCTCCCAAAATAGGCAGCACCACTTCAAAAGGGAAGAGAGGGGGAGGAAAAAAATCCCAAACCCAAGGCTTCAGGGGGTGAGAGCACTTGCAGCCTCAGAGTTTCTATAAGTGTGTTGTGGTGCCTGCCAGCCCAGCCAGGGTTTGGTCTGAGATAAATCCAGATTTGCCTGGGGTCCCACAGGGATGCTCCCAGCGTGGTCAGGAGCTGCTTCCTGTCGTGGGAGCTTTGTTGCCCTCACTCCCTCTCCATCCTCTACTGTTTTTTTTTTACCTGGGAATATTACCCTGAGCTTGATCCCAGTCTGGAAATCATGGAGAGGTTTCTTACAAGGAAAACTGGGCTGGTGTGGGCTGAGCACAGCCCTCAGAGCCGAGCAAAGGGGCAACACCAGCCCACTTATTCCAGAGAAAACCAGGATCTGCTCCAACCCCTGTCCCACTGGACACCAATTTGGAAGGAGCTGGACCAGGCAGTGCCTGTGTAAAGTCTTGCAGCACCTAAAGGGCAGGAAAACACTTCTAAACCAGAAGTGGGGCACGCTTAAAAGCCATAGGGGTTCCGTGTGCCAGCATGGGATGCCCTTTGGAGCTGTGGTTTCCCCTCTTTGTTTGCCCAGCTCGCAGCACTCAGAGAGGCAGCCGTGCCCACCCACCTCCTGGGAGCTTATCTTGGCCCAGAATAACATTTTAGATTTCCTTTTTAAATGAAAGCTTAATATTTTTGTAGTAAAAGAAAAGGAGGCCTGAGTTTAAGGTGATCAACTCACACTTGGTTTTCTTCTGCTGAAGTTAAAGCCCACGTGGACCATTCATTTTAGCCAGGAGCAGCCCTGGATTCACCTTGGACCATCCAAAAAGCACACAGAATGGTCAATAAACTGACATTTTGGAAATAATTAGCTGCAGCCTCTTATTTCAAGAAGTTGAGGGCATGGCCACAGGCAGCAACATTAACAAATATTATTAATAAATATAATAAATATGAGCATTTATTAATCCCCTGGGGGATTACAGAGTAAAAGAGGGGTGCCATCCCAGGATTCTCAGCATTTTTAGAGCTGATGGAAATAGGTTAGAGGGTTTGCAAGAAACCACATTATCAGCAATAAAAAGCAGTCTCTAAAGTCAGGCCAGTCCTAAGAGCCCTTAAATCATCTCAATCTGGTCCCCAGAGTGGCTGGGGTGGTTTCAGAGAGCTGGGGACTTGCAGCATCCTTTGCAGAGGGATTATCCCTGCTGCATCTCAGGGGGTTGTGTGAACTGACTCACAGCTCAGCAAAAATCTGCCTTAGTAAAACGTGTTCTCTTGGACCCAGCATCCTGTTATCTCGGGGAAAGAAATGGAACTGATTTTTGTCTGGTGCACTGGATGGTTTCTAATTGTCCCTGGCCATCCTTTGGAGTTCATTATTTCTCCTTCAGCCGTCACCAGCTTCTAATTAGGGGACATAAAATTAAGATGGAAGAGCAGCAGTTTGCAGGGGTATTGCTGCTCGTGAAGGAATCTGGGCTGGATTTATGCCAAAAATCCCCTCTTGTGTGCAGGGTGGTGCAAGCACTGCTGGGTACCAGTGTCTGCACAGACCCTGTAAGGGCTGGATTAGCAGAGCCTTCACCTCCTGAAAGGGGACAATTAACCTCAGTCCTCCTTGCCCCTTCTCCTGCATGTCTCCTTCATCTGAGGGGCACAAATATTTCCTAAATCAGTGTTTTTCCTATGACAAATTCAGAGTGAATTCTCTCCCCATGGCAGAGTGGCATAGCTGGGTGCAGCAGGCACAGAAGGGCTCTGGGTGATGTGGAGCCAATGCTCAGCCCTGGTGATGCATTTTAACCAATTTATCCTTTTTTTTTTCCCTTATAATTCCCCCTATATTTGGAGGGTTTTAAATCCTAAATATATTTTTCTCCTGGGAGGGTGATGTGGCATCTGCAGATGATGTTTTGGGGGTACAATTCCAAAGCAAAGAGCTGAAAAAGCTTGCCCAAGACCTTCTGAAATCCATCTATTTCCCCATCCTGAGGCATCACATCGCAGCTTTAGGAAGCATAACACTGCTCTGGAAGCAATCTCAGGATCTCATTGACATCCTTTTCTGCAAGAGACTTCTGGAAGATGTTTGTGTCGTTTTTAAATGGGAAGGGAATAAATTCTTCCCCATAAGCCACCCCAGTGCTTCTCTGCAGAGCGTGGTGTTAGTGTTATGTATTGGCACAAGAAAACCCTTTCAGAAGTAGGAATTATTTAAACATTACAGAAATCCACAGGTTTTTTGGCCTCATCCAGCAGCTGCCTGTGGTACCAGCTGCTTTTTGCAGGTGGTTAATAAATGCAAATGTGCTCTGGTGTTTTTCTTTCCCCTCCTTTTGTAACCCCACTACTGCCTCATTTTCATGCCTCTCCTGGTCAGCAAGATGGCTTTGATGGTGGGTTTTCCCCCAGGCTTGAGCTGGGAATTAAGCCTGGCTTAACCTTTGCAGCACAGTGCACCTGGCTGGGGGTTTTCCACCAAGACTCGTTTATATTAAATAATAACATGGAGAGGAGTCTGAGTGGTTTTGGTGAACTGCTGTAAATGCAAAAAGGGGATTAAGGAGCTTTAGGGCTTTGGTGCTTTAGATGGAAAAGCCACGAGAACAATGAATTTCCCCCCAGGTTTTGTACAGTTTAAAATTTTGGTTTGGAAAGAAAAATTGAAAAGTGTTTGCTTCTCTTTCTTATAGGCTGAAAGGTCATTCTAATCCCTCTGCCCTCAGGTTTTCCTGGAGCAGGGAAATTTTCCCTGGTTTGCATCCCAAGTCTGTATGTTAAATTACATACACTGTGTTTATGGTTAGACCAGTAGTTTAGTGACTCTGAGTGATGGAATTTGAATTTTGTTAAGCAAACAGAACAATCTTGTAATGCTTTTTTCAGTACTTAAAACAGAGATAGTCCTTGGAAGTGTTTAAGGGCAGGTTGGACAGGGCTTGGAGCAACCTGGTCTAGTGGAATGTGTCCCTGCTCATGGCAGGGGGTTAGAATGAGATCTGTAAGGTCCTTTCCAGCACAAACCATCCCATGATGCTGTCATTTTAGTAGGACTCGAGGCTGAGACATTCCTATGGATGAGAAGTACCCTGGCAGTGATTTTGGGAGATGTGTAAGTGCTCCTGCTTCAGGGCACAAGCCAGGCCCTTACCTAAAGGGAGACAGAGCTGTTTCCCTTGGATCTCTGTGAGGACATCCCCATCCTGGGGATTTTTACACTCCAGAACTGCTCAATTGATGTTTTTTTCCCTAGAGATGAAATCCACACAACACCTTCCCAACGTGGCTTGTGTGACCCCATCTCCTTGCAGGTACTCCCGTCCGTTTTGCTTCCCAGGAGGCAAAGCAGAGAGCTCAGGGTAGGGCTCAGGGGTGCTGCAAAGCCATCAGCCAGGCACCATGGCCAACCACACCACCACACATTTTATAATTTCATTTGATTTTTTTTTGTTGTTTTGTTTTTTTATCAGGGGACTCTGCTGCATCCCGGGCCGCGAGGGGGGAATAACCTCTTTGATTTTATTTTTTTTTTTTTTCAGTTCTCTCAGGCCAGACACACCACAGCCCTTTGAAACGCTCTGTGTCCCTTACCCCACCCATGAATGTGCCAAACCAACCTCTAGGACATGGATGGATGTCTCATGAGGACTTACGAGCTAGAGGACCCCAGTGCATCCCTTCCGATCATGCCCCCCTGTCTCCACAAAGCAGTGTAGCCTCTTCGGGAAGTGGTGGGAGTGAACATTTAGAAGATCAGCCTTCTGCTCGTAACACATTCCAGGAGGAAGGGAGTGGGATGAAAGGTGAGTGACAAACCAGACCCCGACCCCCCAGCACCCAGAGGCAGGAGGGGCTCTCGCTTGCCGGATCCTCGTGGCCTTTTCTTCCCTGTTTAGGAATTGAGGTTTAGGGGAATGCCTTGGGTTTTTTTTTTTAAGTAGCAGCTGGTCCTGATCTGACATCTTACACTCGGGTGCCGGTGGGCTGGTTTTGCCCCAAAATCCTGTGAGCTGCCAGCTTTCCAAAAAGCTGGATTTTTTCCATTGCCTGTGGTGCTTTTTTTTGTCTTTTTTTATGACAGTGAAAAATATCTTAGAGCGAGCTTAGCAAGCCATGTGTGTTTTACCATTGCAGTGTTTGGTACCCACCAAGTATTTGGGGAAGTATTGGCTTGGGATTCTTGTTTGCAGTGAATTTAACCTGTGTGTTTCGGTTGGTTTTCCTGTTATACCTACATTTCACAGAGGTTTTGGCAATGAATATTATGTGATTCGGGTGGTAAACAAGGCAGAAATGAACCCCACTTGCTGCAGTCAAAGATGCAGAGCAAACTTCAGGCTGAGGAGGAATAAACAGCTAAAAACTGGGCAAACACACAGACTGTGTGTTCCTGGGAACAGACTGAAAATGCCCCTGCAGCTCTCAGACTGATTTAAACAACTCCAATTTGTATTAATGCAAAGCAGCTTGATTGTGTGCAAACCAGTGGTGTATCAGAATAGGGAGAAAACTGTATTTTTTAATAGTCACAAGGTCTGATTTTAGTCTAATTACAGACAAATTGAGATATGGATAAATCTGTGTGATGTGGGACTGTGTTTGGCTCTGGATGGCTTTGATGTGCATGAAATAAGTGCATGAAAAACCCCTCATGGTTCTAGGGAATGTAAGAGGCAGGTCAGGTCCTGCAGTCTGTCTGGCCAGGGAGAGCTTTTTGGGAGCAAGTGTTCCTAGGGGAGGGCTGTTTAACACTACATTTCTCCAGGTTTCTGCAGAAGGAGCTGGGGAGGAGACCATGGGGAGTTTGGCTCCCTATGATCCACAGCTGCAGCTCTGGGATCTGCGTGGATAGGAACTTTCCAGTGCTGTGCAATCAACCTGTGTGGCCAAATCCACAAAAGCCAGAGGCTGTCCACGAGCAATGATCAATTAAATAACCCCCACATATTAACACATCCCCTTGCTGCTGCCTGCAGCTGGGATGTGTCCACCTTTCCTCGGGCTGTCCCTTCCCAGACTTCCAAACATGATTCCCCCATTGCTGACTCAGCCAAATGGCTTTTGTCCCCCTGTCCAGGGACGTGCAGAACAGATGTTCACAACCTCTGGTGTCTATGCCTGCCATGTCCTCCCCCTCAGCTGGGTTTTCTTCAGTGAAGCATTCCACTGCCTTCCCAGATGATGTTTTCTAAACTTGGGGCTGTTCCTGCTTCTCTCTGCCATGGTTTTTTTCAAAAAAAATCCGTGTTTTATTGAAGGTGTGTTGCCCAAAAACTGGACTTGGAAGCAGAGCAGAGGCTTGTTTGCCTCCAGACAGCATTCCTGTGGTTGTGTCCTCATATAACAAAGCACCATGGGCTGCATATGACCCATTGTATCCCCACAGCTTTCCTGAAAAAACCAAGAGAGGACTGCCCGTTCCCTGCACTCGGATCGTGCCGTGTCCCGTTCCTACAGAAACGCTGCACAACTCGGTGCATTTTTATGGGGCTGCCTCGTGTTCCATCCAGGCTGGCTGCTCCCGCCGCCAAGTCTGTTCTCTGAATTGCAGCCACGTCTCCCTGAGTGCCTGCAGGCTCTTGTGGCTGGGTGTCACCCCTGCTCCTGGTCAGCTGCTTCCTTCTTTACCACCCTCCAGGGCATCCAGGAGGATCCGGATGTGAGGAACCCATGGCAGATCCCCATCTGCCTTACCAGTTTATCTCCCCCTATTTCTTCCCTTTCTGTTTGTCTTTATGGTCTCATGTCTCCCACTGCTTTTCTTTCCATCCATCTTCATGCTGAAGGGAAAATGCCCTTTGGCTTTATCCTAGCTCTTGGTTTCTCCAGGGGAAGATATGGACGCTTGGTTCTCCATGGAGCCCATCTGTCTGTCTGTCCCTTCCCATGTCCCTGCACATGGCAGGGGGTTGGAATTAAATAATCTTTAAGGTCCCTTCCAACCCAAACCACTCCAGGATTCTGTGATTCCTGGGGCACAGCTTGGGGAGCATCAGGAGGAAGGTCTGGCTAGAGCCAGGGGTTTCTGCTGGGAGTATATCCAAGGTGTCCTCTGTGTAAATATGGCAGGGTGAGTTGTTTTCCTTCTCAATTTCCTGACAGCCGTGCCATGACTTTGCAATTAGCTCCTGGTAATTGCTGATTAAAGAGTAGCTCTGCAGGCAGGTGGTTCACCCATCCGTGGAGAGCATTGGGAAGTTTGACTTTCCAAGGACCATGAAATCACCTTGGATGTCCTTGCAGCTCCACCACACACAACACGCTCTCTCTGTCCTGGGGTGGCTTCTTCTCCCCAGCCTGCTCCCAGGATTGCCATCTCTGCTGGCAGGGAGGCTCTGGGACCATCACTCTCCCCAAAATTAAGGCATGATCCCAACAAAGAGCTGCTTCTGCAAAGGTTGGAGATGGGTTTCCTGCAGGGTTCAATGTCTATGTGAAGATGCATCTCTCTTCTGGAAGTATCCCCGTGGGCTCTGCCATTGGCATGGATGTGTGCCAAAGGCAGGTGTCCCATGGGAATGTGGGATCAGGGAGACTTTTAATGTGCTGTCACTAGAATGGTGTGGGTTTGTCTTAAAATTATGTTGAAATTTGAGTCTGTGCTGGAAATGGGGCTTGTTTTGCTAAGAGGTTTTTATTTATTTTAAACAGAAATCAGCTTAAGAGGGTGCTAGTAGCAGACTTTGGGACTGTTGCATGTCAGAACTTTTGAAAGATGGTGAATTTTAGCCCATCTGTGCTCAGTAATTGCTTTCCCCCATGTTTGGTGTGGGGTTGATCTCCTATGCAGCACTTGAGGAATTTCACTGACACGTGAATCCCGATGTATGTCTGGGATGGAGAGTGTGAGCAAGATGCAGCATGCTGGGATTGTTTGCATCCTCTGTTTGGATGGGTTTGGGACCAGCCCAGGCAGCAGGAGGCTTCTGGCAGGTGTATGGACTGCCTTAGGGAGCCAAACCAAGGTCCCTCCTGCCCTGTCCCTTCCCTTGGTTCAGGAAGAGGTCATGGACAATCCCTGGTTCAATGTGGTACTCAATAGTGTAGAACTTTCTGGATGGATGTCCCAGCATGGGAATGAGCTCCTGAGTGCCTCACTGGTAGGGAAGGGGACAAGGACTATGGATGAGGTGTTGCTGGGAGGAGAGCACATCAGCTGGGAAGGCTGTGGCAGGGCTGAATAAAGCAGGTCTCGATTTGGCAAAGTGTTTGAAGCCTTTACCAATGAAAAGTGTGCAGCACAGACACCTGCAGGGCCTCCCTCCCTGGTGGGGTGTCACCACAGACCCCTGAACCTGCAGAACCCTGCATACCTGCTTGTTGTCACATTGCCTTCTCCGTGGAGGACACCTCCTCATGGAGGTTTTGAATGTCGCAGAGGAAGGATTCCCCTCCCAGGTTCCTCACTGTGAAACCATGTTGATGTCAGGAGGATAAATGTACTTTTGGGTACCCTTCCAGCTGGGCATAGAGGTGCTGCACTGCAGGTAACAACTGGGAAGGAAGAAGTCATTTCAGTCAGTGCATTTTAGGTCCCAAGTCACCCTTTGAAGCAGGGTGTGGGGCCATATTTGATGGCACATCATTTTTCCATCCCAAACCCATCTCTCTAGTGCTGTTTCAGCAGCCAGTTCCATTTTCAGCACATGCCACCATCCCTCATGCCATAAATCAGTATCTACCATCCACAAAACAGCCCTTTGCTTGTCCTAAGCTCAGCCACTCCATGAGCTTCAGCAGTTCCCATGTTCCTGGGAAAACAGCAGAGAGGAGCTTGGTGTGCAGTGGCACAATGCCAGCTCCCCATGGGTTAATTCCCAGGGGCTTTCCCACAGGAACTCAACTTCTGAGGATGTGTCCCATCCACATCCACAGCCCTGTGTCCTCCTCCAGGGGCTGGTTCCATGTCCCATCCACATGCACAGCCCTGTGTCCTCCTCCAGGGGCTGATTCCATGTCCTATCCACATCCACAGCCCTGTGTCCTCCTCCAGGGGCTGGTTCCATGTCCCACCCACATCCACAGCCCTGTGTCCTCCTCCAGGGGTTGGTTCCATGTCCCATCCACAGCCCTGTGTCCTCCCAAAGGTCCATGAAGCTCAGTGAGGTGTCCGTAGGGATGCCCCTCGTGTCGGTGTTGATGCTGTTGCTCACAGTTGTGCCATCCCATGAATTCAAGGGAGCTCTCCTGTCCTTGCTTTGTGCTCCAGATGTCCCAGCCTGGCTGAAGAGCCTCCGGCTGCACAAGTACGCCGCCCTCTTCTCCCAGATGACGTACGAGGAGATGATGGCCCTCACCGAATGCCAGCTCGAGGCACAAGTATGTCCCACCTCACTTGGGGGGTGACAGCTTCCAAAGCCCCTTTCTGTGTGTCTTCCCATGGTTGGGAAGCAGAAAAAGGGAAATTGGGTCTTGGGGAGTAAAACAAATCTCACATTGTACCTGAATAAACCCTTGTTCCTGTGTTCTTACTGGAGTCCCATCACTGGGAGCTGTGCTTGGGGTTTTTTTTCCCAGCTGGGATTAAGTTCAGGAGGTTCAGGGGTGCAACCAACTCCCTTAAAGGCAGTGGGGCTTTGATGGCTGACTGCCTTTGAAAATGCCATAGACTCATAGAATATTGCTGGTTGGGGTTGGAAATGACCTCAAAGATTATCTGGTTTCAGGTTCACCTCTGCATTATCCTTGGGATAAAGAGGAATGGGAACACCATTGCTTTCCATGTGTGAGGTGCACTAGGGAGAGACAGATTAGCTGGTAATCTCTATCCTCAGCAAGTCTCTGGGTGATTTTCTATGTCCCCCACATATCCCTGCACTCAAAAATGTAATTAATTCCTAGCAGCCCTTTCTGTTTAGGAGAGGAAGGGTTTGGGTTGAGCCAGCTGCCCTGTGGAAGTGTTAACATCAAGTTTTTTCCCGTTTTTGCAGAACGTTACCAAAGGTGCGAGACACAAAATAGTCATCAGTATCCAAAAGCTAAAAGAAAGACAAAACCTGCTCAAATCTCTAGAAGGGGTAAGTAGTCACAACCATTTTTGTATTTCTTGTGTTTTTAAGAAGCCAGGAATTAATTCTGGGGTGAAATACTCTTTGCTTGCACATATTGTGGGGATCTGATGCAGGTTTTATTTCACAGAATTCCAGAATGGTTTGGGCTGGCAGGGACATTAAAGTCCCAACCCTCTGCCCTGGTGAGGGAGACACTTTCCACTAGACCACATAGCTCAAAGCTGTGCTTTGCAGAGTGGGTCCTAATGCATCTCACACAGCTGGCATGGATGTACCCTATAGCCCTGGCCAGCTCCAGGGTGCTCTGAAAGACTTGAACTTTCCTGGAACATCACATGGGCACCCTACCCTCAGATAAAACACCAGACATCCACATCAGTGCCTGAGCAACATCTTGAATTTCCAAGGAGAATAAACAGAAACTTCTTTATCACTTCAGCAAAAGCTCAAATCCTGAAGAAAGGGCTTTTGGGGAAGTAGCAGCACCACAGCCTAGCTGGGAGCAGCTCACACAACCTCTCCCTATTTATTATCGCTGTATTATATTATATTTAATTGCACCATCTTCAAACAGCAACTTGCAGAGCCTCCCACTAGGGGCTTTTAAATACTTCTGTGGTGTGTTGCTATTTATTGGTGTTTTCCTTAGCTCACTGCTTCACTATTTATTTATAATATGGGCTTGTGCTCAGAGTATGGCAGGAGCTAATAAAGCCATATTTACCTCCGTTATTAATAATAACTATTAAATCCAAGAGCTGGATGGAGCTGGCTGCAGCCTTGTGTTTTCCAGGCGACTGCAGAGCCTCATCCTCCTCTTCTCCACTGGGATTTGGGAATCTGATATTGATTGAGTGGTGCTGTGCAGGAGCTGGAGCCCAGCTCAGCTGGCACAGCCAGCCAGGCATGCTGTAAAATACAGGAGGACAGTGGCAGGGACTGGTTTGGAGCCCTGTGGGGTGGCTTTGGGCTGTGGCACTGTGACCCTGTCCCGCTTTGCTGGGGCTCGGAGTTGCCTGTGAGCTGCTTTCCCTGGGAGGAGACATCTCTGCTTTTCCAGGCTTCCCATCCAGGTTTTGCTAAACAAGAGCATGTGTGGGACTTGACGTTTCTGGGCAGTGTCTCACTGCTAAACACTGCTGCTTTCTTGGAAAGAGCTGCTCCACCCCTCTCTGTTAATTAGCTGGGCAGGATTGTCTCCCAGAAAAACAGTGCCCAGCAGACTGACACCAGATCTTTGTGAGAAATGGAGCTGAGACGTCCAAGAGTGAGCTGGGAATGCAGCAGGAATTAGAATCAACAACCGTTTCAGGGCTTGCACACATCCCATGTGCCCACTTAGTGTCCCTTCCTTCAGCACATCAGGATTCACTCCAAAAGTTGCCTCTTTTCCAAGCAGTGTCCCATGAGCCAGACCGTGCAGGATCCTGCAGTGAGCTGTTCTGGTCCAGGCTACATTAAAAACAAAATGCAGTTATTTCCCATCAGTGGGACGAGGATCTAACCATAGAAATTGAGTTGTTGATGCACACCAGGAGCGAGGCTGGGGTACACCCAAATTCTCTCCCTCTTGGGTGGATCTGCCCCAGGATCTCCAAGTTTTCAGGTTTTGCTGTGGGAGTATCAGTTCACCTTGTGGTGTTCCCTTCTGTGGCTGAGCACAAACCACCTGCTCCCCCTGAAACCCTCCCAGTGCCTCTGCATCCACCTCTCCCAGCCCATCCCAGAGTGGACAGGGATGTCCCCACAGCTGCCACAGGCTTCTGCATCCTAGCGTGGTCCTGGGCTTTGAGGTGATCTCAGAGCATGAGGATACCGTGGCAAGCAGTTTTGGGGCAGAGCAGTTAATGGGAGCCAGGCTTGAAGGTGATGCTGGAAATGGGAAATGAGCCCATGTTAATGCAAGTCCAATGAAACAGAGATGAAATGTTGGGATTGTAGGATTGCTGGGGAACCAACAAGCTACTTGCTGCTCTGGGCATTGAAATCTCCCAGGCTCAGTCACTTCCATGGACTTGCCATTTCCCTGGTGGAGATGTGGAAACATTGAAGCTGGATAGTTGTTGGGTTTGGGTCCCAGTGGTTGATGGGGGCACATTTATCTCTGGGGATTCAGGTCTGAACACAACCATGGATAATCACAGTCCCTGCAGCACTCCCCTGATAAAAAGAAAAGATGAATGAAACGTGGCTGTTGACTGTGGGATGCAGCAGGATGCTGAAGCAGGAGCAAAGCTGGGAATTCTCACAGGAGGGTCTGGTTTACAGCTGATGTCCCGTTGTCCCTCCTGCAAAGACAAACCCTCCTCTCTCCCCTTCACCCCGCAGGACATCCTGGAAGGCGGCAACTTGCGTGTCCCGCTGCAGGAGCTACACCAAATGATCCTCACCCCCATCAAAGCCTACTCTTCCCAAAACTCGAGCCCGGAGGAGCACAGCCGGGACGTGGACTCGCACCACCCCTCCTCCCTGCTGGGCTCGGACAGCCAAGGCTCGGACTGCAAGGACTCCGCGGCGGCCGGGATGCAGCAGCAGCATCTGCCGGGATGCGAGGGCGAGTCGGGAGGGGCCCCTTTGCCCGAGGGGGACCTGCCCGGGCAGTTCACCCGCGTGATGGGGAAAGGTGAGCAGCTGCCACTTGTCCCCGGTGACCTGGGGACGCACCTCCAGGGAGGGCAGCTTTGGGGCAGGGCGTGTGCGGTGGGAGCCGCTTTCCCTGAGCTCCTGCTGGTCCCAGGCTGAGGGGTGATGGTTTTTTGAGGTCCTGGGGTTAGAGGTAAGAAGATGGGGCAGGTGGGTTGTGATTTTGGGGAGGGGCAGCAATGGCTCAAGCTGCCTGCCTGAGGTCCAAGGTGGATAGCATGCATGCCAAGCCCCAGGTCCAAGGTGGGAAGCATCCTCTCCCTGTCCCAGGTCAGAGGCAGAAATCACAACTTTTCCCAAGGTCAGGAGTGGAAGATGTCCTCTCTCTTCCCATCCAGAGCCCTGGGGGTCATCCCACTGATCCACAGGTGTGTTGAGTAGCATCCCATGGACTTACTCTGCTTGGAGCAGGGCATGCATGGGCTGGACACAAACCATTTGGAGTGCAAATCAGTGGGTCCAAGGCCCTTTTATGCCCCAGCTTGGATGCAGGGCATCCAGAACACTCCATTGCCATTCCATGTCGAGTGCAGGTGCGCAGCTTTGCATCAGGGATAACACACTGGGAGGTTACAGGAGCAAGCTGAGGTGGGGATCGACCTCCTGTGCAATATTCAGGGCTCGTGGAGCGAATCTTTGTGAGCTTGGATGTGCCCTAACCGTGTTGGTGGCACCTGAGGTGTCAGTGCTGGCTGCATGGAGGGAGATCTCCCTGGGGAAGAGGAAGGGGGGTCTGGGAAGAGAAAGAGACTCATTGGAGTGCCATAGAGAAATATCAGCCTTGTCTCTTATTTTCAACCTTTTTTGCAAAAAAATAGCTGAGATGTTTTCTATACAGGAACCTGGTGCAGAATTTGTCCCCAGCTGGTTCCCTGCAGAAACAGCCACAAGTGGGGCTCCGGCCCCATTTTATTCCTGTGACAAATGTCAGAGTGTGGCACAAGCCCTGCCCAGATGTGGTGTCCTCCTGGACCCCCAGGCATCCCTGTCCAGGGCTTTACAACAGGAGAAACTCATTCCTCTGTGAGGTCATTCCCACTTCCTTCAATGACATTCATTCCAAAAGAGGTTAAAATTCATGAGGGAAGGTGGGAATTTACCACTCTGCAGTGGGGGCAGATTTGGCCATGGGAGAAGGAGCTGTCTTGCCTATGAATAGGGATTAATCCTGTGCCCCTGAGTTGCTTAAGTCTAATTTTGGGGACTCCAATGGTATTACTCTAGATTTACACCATCATAACTGAGAACAAAATCTGGCCCTAAATATAGGAAGATACAGCAGGAATTGGGGAAGGGTGTTTTTTCTTACTGATGAAAAACCTACTCATGGTTACAAGGGAAACAGGATACCCAAGGTGTTTGTGGGACCCCTTCTGGGCCCCATCTTGGTGTCCCCATGCCCATTTCCCTTCTCTTCTTTTTTTTTTTTTTTCCAGTCTGCACACAACTTTTAGTTTCCCGACCCGATGAAGAGAATATAAGTTCCTATTTACAGCTCATAGACAAATGTCTAATCCACGAGGTGAGTCGTGTCAGATCATCTAAAACTGTTGTTCTCATCACTTGGAAACTGTTTCCAAAGTGTCTGTTTATGTAAACCTTTGGGTTTCTAACACAAATATTTTTGGGGGGTATTAATAGTAATTGTGACAGAACGGGCTTGGAGCAGGCGGTAGCTCCAACGTGGTGCATGGAAATGTTGCTTCCCCCCACGCTGGTTTAATTGCCAAGGCCTGGAGCTGGGAAATTCATCTGGCTCATGACAGTCCCACCAGCAGCTGGATGAAAGCAAGAATCCTGGGATGAACGTGCAGGCAGTTTCCATCAGACCGACCCGGCGATCCCTTGGCGTCGCCTCCTCCCGTTTGGCACCACTTGGGATTTTGCAACAGGGATTTTACATCTGTTCCTGCTCCCAGCGGGTCTGCCTTGGCTGGGTGATGGCTTGGGATGGCCCAGGCTGTGTCACAGGGCTCTGGCACGCTCCTGCCAGTGTCCCTGGTGTCCTGCAGTGTCTCCTACCTACTCTGGCAGTACCTGGAAGAACAAGCTGCTTCTCTCACCTGCCTGTGTGGCAGGGGTCAGGGAGCAAAAGTGGTGGAAGCTGAGGCCTGGGACCAGAGAGCAAAGCCAGGAGGACATGGAGCTTTTCCCAAAATGCCTGCACTTTTCCCACCAGAGCCATCCCACATCCCAGGACCACCCTCTGCGCTGGCTCCGGCACAATCAGCGCCAGGAGAGAGCATCTCCTCCTGAGTGGTTCAGAGCAATCAAGTCAGGCACTAATTAGCCTCCAGATTGTCCTCTGGAGATTTCTGCTGCTCTCCAGCAGAGACCTGGGGTGTCTAAAGTTAGCAGTGGTGGCACGTGGGTGTCGCTGTCACCCACACCTCCTGCCTGGAGCTCTGGGAGCAGGTCTGTCGCTGCCAGGGTGACCTTTGCAGGGAGCCCGGGTGGGTGACAGGCTCACCCTGGGTGGCCTCTCCAGAGTCTGGGAGTGCCAGCAAGCTCTGCCCAGCCCTGAGAAGGGGGATAGGATTCCACAGGGCAGCTCAGCTTTCCAAATCCCAGCTTTGCTCACCCTGGAAGCATTTGTAGAGCCACATCCAGGTGACAAGTGTCACCACCCATCAGTACCCACCATCAAACCCTCGCTCTGCCAAAAGGAGTTGGCAGCCTTGAGGCAAAGCTGGGCTGTCACTGGGACACAGGGAATGCTGCCAGCATTTTCTCCACCTGAGATGAGTAAATCCTGAGGAAAGACCAGTGCTTCCCCCTGGACTTTCTGATGGGGCTCAACTCACCCCATCACACTCCCACATGCACATCCCTGCTGGCTTTGTCCAGAAGAACTATTCATACATTTCCTATTTTTCTCTCTCTTTTTTTTGGGGGGGGGGCAGGCGTTTACAGAGATCCAGAAGAAGCGGCTGCTGTCATGGAAACAGCAGGTGCAGAAACTCTTTCGGTCCTTCCCTCGGAAATCCCTCCTGGAGCTGTCAGGCTATCGGCAGCAGAGGAGGTATGCGGGATTTCGGGATTTTGGGAGGGGAGGGATGGATGCAGCAGCCAGAGCAGGAGCACTCCAAGTGGGAACATCCCCCCAGAGGGAGGGATGGGTTCTGCTGGGTTCAGAGCTGTGTTTTTAAATCACTTTTATCAGCATCACCCCTTGGTTTCATTCTGCAAATCCTGGTTTGTTGCAGTTTTTTTATTCCCAAAAAAGACAGTGTTCTGGAGATAACTGGGAGCATAGGAACTTCCAGGATGAGATTTCAGGAGAGCTCAGCCCTTCCTAATAAAACTTGGATTTATTAGGTCATTCTAACCAAATTTTACAGAACTTGAGAAGTCTCAGAGGTGACCATATTTGTAAAAACAAACTTAGAAGAGGAGAAAGAAAACCCAACAGCAAAAGCTGAACTTAAATTAGACACTGGAGAATCCACTCATTAGAAATCTCAAAGAAATCAAAGTTCCCAGGACATTACCTGGATTATTTTAGATTGTATTTAAGAACAGCCCCATTTTGCAGAAGTAAAATAAGCTTTAAAGAAAAACACTGTGGATCTGAGAACTGCAGAAGGGCGGGAAGGCGACTGGCAGACGGGAAGAAGAGAAGGGTGCTGCACACCCAGACTGCCTCCTTCCTGCTGCCTGTGCAGGACTGAGGGACCACCTCGGTGGGGTGGGAGAATCAGAACCCCTTGGAGGGGTCAGTGTCTCACCCTCAGTGGGGTGGGGGCTCAGGACCCCTCCCAGGGGTCGGTGTCTCACCCTCAGTGGGGTGGGGGCTCAGGACCCCTCCCAGGGGTCAGTGTCTCACCCTCGGTGGGGTGGGGGTCCCAGGGGTCGGTGTCTCACCCTCAGTGGGGTGGGGGCTCAGGACACATTCCAGGGGTCGGTGTCTCACCCTCAGTGGGGTGGGGGCTCAGGACCCATCCCAGGGGTCGGTGTCTCACCCTCAGTGGGGTGGGGGCTCAGGACACATTCCAGGGGTCGGTGTCTCACCCTCAGTGGGGTGGGGGCTCAGGACCCATCCCAGGGGTCGGTGTCTCACCCCTGTCTCTCTCTCTCTCTCCCCCCGCAGCCGAGGCTTTGGCCAGTCCAACTCCCTCCCGACAGCCGGATCCGCGGGGGCAGGGCTGGCACGGAGGAACCCCCGGCAGTTCCAGATCCCCTCCCGAAACCTCCCCACGGCCCGGCTGGGGCTGCTGGGCCCCACGGGGCTGCTGGGCACCCCCCAGCGCAGCCCTGCCGCCAGCCCCGCCATCCTCAAGCAAGGCAGACAGGTTGGGCAGTGTTCATGGCGTTTCCAACTCTTCCATACCTTTCCCACCAGCTTCATTTGCTTTTCCTTCTCTGACTCATCTGAATCTTTGCTTTTTTTTCCCCACTCTTCCAAGTTGTTTGTGGGCATTTGGGTTGTGCTCCCCTCCGTGCAGTGGGATGTGGAAGTGGGAGCAGCACAGGGGGACAAACCGAGCAGCAGAGGGGGAAAAGCTGAGTCTTTGAAGTGGCTTATAAAATAGAGAGAGGGCATTTTGGCAAGAGCAGATATTGGTAGGAGGAAGGGGAGGGTTTTAAATTGGCAGAGGGGAGATTTAGATGATATACTGGGAAGGAATTCTTCCCTGTGAGGGTGGTGAGGCACTGGCACAGGGTGCCCAGAGAAGCTGTGGCTGCCCCTGGATTGCTGGAAGTGCCCAAGAACAGGTTGGACAGGGCTTGGGATCGTAGGAGGTGACCCTGCCCATGGCAGGAGGCAACAAGACTAGTCTTGTAACAAGACTTTCTGTAAGGTCCCTTCCAACCCAAACCATCCTGTGATTCTACAAACCCAAAGTGGTTGTGAACCCATGGCACAGAGGGCTTTGCTGTGCATCCCACACCTTGTGTTTGCTCCCCACAGAACCTGTGGTTTGCCAACCCTGGGGGCAGTAACAGCATGCCCAGCCGGAGCCACAGCTCGGTGCAGAGGACGCGCTCGCTGCCGGTCCACACGTCCCCGCAGACCATGCTGATGTTTCAGCAGCCAGGTAGGCAGCAGAGGTGCTTTTCCACTTACCCACAGCCAGGTGAGATGAGGGGAGGTGAGAGGAGCTGGGCTGGGGTATCTCTGAATTCCTGGGGTAACCACAGGCATCGCCGGAGGGATTTTTGACCCTGTATGTGACTCTGTGTCACAGTGCTGGTGCCTTGCCTAGCTCGTTTCTGAGGGGCTCCTGTCAGGAGGGAAGGTGGTGGCTCATCCATCACTTTTTCCTCCTGGATGGACACAGCCCCGGTGCGGAAGGACTGCCCTCATGCACTCAGGGGAAATTCTTTCCACAGTGCGTGTGAAGGGAAGTGGTGCTGTGTCAGTGCTTCCTTCCCCAGCACTGCCAGAGTGCTCCTGTCTATAGGAGCATCCTCTGATTCAGGGAGGATCCTGCTGACCTTGGACCCTGGACCTGGAGCATCCTGGCCCTGAGGAAGCCTCTTTGTGTATCCCTTCCTTAGCTTTGAGCGTGCCTTTTCCTACCAACACCCCATAACCATTTACACCTCGGGACAGGGAATCCATCCCCGGGTGAGCTCACCCTCATCCCTGCACTCCCGCTGGTTTGGGCTGGCAGCTGCCTGGCCTCACACGCAGGTGGAGTTAAACTGCAGCATTTGGGCAGCAAATGTTCCCTACAGCAGGAGCAGCAGCTGTTCCTGGGTATTGATTAAACACCGGGACAAGGGCACATTTCTCAGGCGTTGGAGGAGAATAAATGGGTTTCTCTTCGCGTGTCAGCCTGCGGTGGATGAGGGCGTAGGAGGACTGGGGAGCCAAAGACGTGGATTAAATCGCAAGGAAAATAAGCAATGATGTGATGCTGGGCTCACAAACCACTGTTTGCCAGGCTGTGGGGGGGACCTCAACCTTCCTGGATCTCATCCCATGTTCCTGTGAGCCACTGGAAAGCGGGAGATGCCGTCCAGCACAGTAGCACAAGCTGTATTTGCAGGTTTTGCTGCAGGGTGGGGAAAGTTTGCCACCATTGAGGTTAGGACAGGGGTGTTGGAAAACTCCAAACTTGGTGTGTGTGTGTCCCTTTTTTTGTGCTCAACCCCCCAGGGATGTGGCAGCGATGACGTGGGCGACTGAGTGGGAGCCAAGCTGGTCCCAGAGAAGGCAGGCAGTGGCTCTGCTGGTCTGTGCTGCCATCCCATGTCCAAGCACTAACCCTGCCTGCACGGACAGCATCCATCCCCAGGAGATGACCAGGGCTGCCCCCTCCCTGGGTGGGGTTCTTGATCCAGCTGTCCCTTACATCTCTTACCAGCACCTGAACCCCTTCAGATTCATCCTTTATGGATAACGGGGTGATGACTGCTTTTGTGAGTGTCTCTTGCTGAAGATGATTTTCAGACACTCCTGGAGCATTTTTCAGATGGTTTTCCCAACAGAGCAGGCAGGCAGGGTCCCTGCCAGGTCCCTGACCAGGGTCTCCTATTCCCTTTCTCCCTGCAGAGTTCCAGGTGCCGGTGACTGAACCTGACATCAACAACAGGCTGGAGTCCCTGTGCCTGAGCATGACGGAGCACGCACTCAGCGGTGAGCATTCCCTCCTCCTGGGGCTCTTCCAGCACGTCCACGCCGCCTCTGCTGAGCCCCCCAGCACCTGCCCCGTGCCCCCCAAAAGCTGGGACAGGCTGTGGCTGTGAGAGCGGGGCCGGATGCCGGGATGCTCCCGGGGCTGCTCGGACGGGAATGTCGGCTTCTCTCGGCGAGGTGGCCGGGCAGGGGGCAAAGCCGAACGCAGGGATCGCACCAGCACCAGCAGAGTCTGTGCTAATTAGCCACTCTTCAGCTTGCTAATGGTAATTAGTGTTAGCTCGCTACTCTCGTTAGCTCTCGATGAAGCCCCTGGGTCACAGGCTTCGGAGCGTTGTGCCCTTCACCACCGGATCCCTGGTTTGGCCGGGGGTGCCCCACAGCTGGGGGCTAAATCCCTGCCAGGCGCTGTGCCAGGGGCTGCGCTGGGCACCGTGCCCTGGTGCTGGCAGTCCTCACACAGCCGGGGGTGCCAGCGGATAACGGGCACGGGGAGGGAGGAGGACCGGGGCAAAAACAAGCAGGGAAGATGGAAAAGGCAGCAGCAGCAGCAGCAGAGCAGTGGAGAGCCCAGTGCAGCACAAAGCACCGGCACCAGGAGCTCCTGGTGTCCCTTGCGACGCTCCGGACCCCCAGGCACAAGGGATGGCCCCGGCGATGGGATGAGCGCGGCATCGCCCCGAGTCCCCGGGGACCAGCTCGGGTCTCGCTGCGGAAATCCTGGACTGTGACCGATGGCTGAGCACGGAGCCCTCGGACAGGACCGGTGCCACCAGGCTCCCTGCAGATGCAACAGCCTTCCCGGGGAGAGGAACAGGAGAACAAGGACTGTGGGAAGCAGCAGGGCCCTGGCAGCATCCCTGGCTGGGAAAACAAGGACACTTCTGTCACCCGAAGCGTTTCTCCGGCGTGTGCCCAGCCGAGGCTTAGCTGTCTTGTTCCTCTGCAGGGTACTGTTCCTCCAAGTTATTTTTTCCAGGTCGCATTCCCCGAGCCTCTCCAAACCGGTCGTGCTATAAATAGCTCTTAAAAAAATAAACCTTTCGGGGGAGAAAAAAAAAAAAAAAAAGGCGTAACAAACCTGTTTGTTTTTAGTGTCAAGGAGGGAGGTGGCTGTGGTGCTCTAAGTGGTAACAGGGAATTCTCTGTTCCACAGCCACTCTGGGAGCTGCCTCCTGCCACTCTCCAGCCTGGGAGTGGGGTTTGGGATGGGGGTGGGGGTGGGATCAGGGCTGGAGGGTTGGAAGTGCTGTTGGGTGCTGATTTCTGTGCCCAGGGGGTGGGGACAGGGGGCTGCTGGTAGCGGGGTCAGCTGTGAGGCTTTGGGGTGGGTCGTGGACCCCTCGCTCCTGGGATGGGGCTGTGGCTGGATGCATCCCAGCTGTCACAGGGTGCTGGGAGCAGGGGCTCAGGGGAGGCAGAAAGGATGCCTGGGGGCTTTTTGTCCTTCCACCATCCTCAGATGGAGGAAAATTTTGCGTCCTCTGCGGTGCAGCTGTTGCAGGGTTGGGTGAACTGTGGGACCAGCTCTGTCCCTGTCCCCTGACTCCTGGTCAGGGATACATGAACTTGTCACGCTGTAGGAGAGTCCCAAACTGTCACCTGCTTGTGACAAGTCCAGGCTGCCCAGAAACCCCTTCTGCTCCTGGGGAAGAGGTTGTGGGGTTGTGGCATAAGGCCTGGACCGGTGCTGGGACAGCGACCTGGGGAAGCTGCTGTGGGGTGGGGACAGCTGGTGGCACAGAAAGACCAGCAGAGCATTGACACCCCAAAACCCTTCTGCACCCCTTTTATTATTATAGATCACAGGCTTTGGAGTGTGGGGAGATGGGAGGTGGTGGAGGTGGCTCCAACACCACCTCGCTGTAGGGGCTGTGGGTTGGGGGTGCTCTGGGGGTCCATACCCCAAATCCCCAGCGTGGGGGGTACCAGTGCTCACTGGGGCTGCTCCTAATTCTCCCTTCCCACTTGCAGATGGTGTCGACAGAACCTCCACGATCTAGAAGGCGTCGCCAGGGGGACGCTGGCCGGGACAACAACTGCTGCGGGTCCAGCGGCGAGGTCGGGGCTGAGGGAGCCTCAGTGATAGCTTGCATCCTTTCTCCTCTCTCCTCTCCTCTCTCTCTCTCTATATCTCTCCTGTTTTAATTTTGTGAATGTGTAGATTGTCCTTGTGAACATATCATTAGACTTGGAATTTGTGTTGTCATTTATTACATCCATGCTAAGGGGGGGGGAAAAGATGGCAAAAAAAAAAAAAAATAATAAATCTCAGCGATGATGGTGAAGCAGCATGGGGAGGTTGGGGTGGACATGGAGGAGGAGAGTGCTGACAACAGAGGGTTCACCGTGGGCAAACCCTGCTCCTGGAGGAGGATACCAAGGAGCACGGAACACCACGTGGGGTGTGTGACCAAAAACCCTTTGGGGAGGATTCTCCTGCCCTGCCGGGGGCTTCGGGGATGGCAGTTCTGACTCTGGAGTTCGGCTGCTTTCGGGTGCGGGCTGACCCGGCGAGCCCAGACTGAAACAGAAATAATAAAATAACCCCAAAATTCCCTTTCAGTTTAGCCAAGAGATCTGCAGTGTGGGGGCAGCATTGTGCTCAGGGCAGTGGAGGGTCGGGGGTGCCCATCCCTGCACCTCGCCCAGAGGAGGGGCCCCCTGCGAACTGGGGGACACTGGGAGAGTTTCCTGCATCCTGGCTCCACACATCTCCCCCAGCCTGCCCAAATCCAGCTGTAAGGGGTTTTTCCTTTCCCCCAAATAAATCCCAAGTCACAAAGGGCACCAAAATGCAGCTTCCCAGCCTTGTTTTCTTGGCATTAACCGTGGGGCTGGCAGTGGCTGGGCTGCCCCTCACCCACTGCTGCTTTTTATAACGGGAGCTAAATTTGGTGTTAAATTGATAAATCTGACCTGGCACTGCTCTGAGCTGCAGTGATGCTCCCGCCGGTCCTGATGCTGCTCTGAGTCCTCTGATGGAATAACGACAAATATAAAATCAATTAATTTAGCTGATGGGTAGCAACAATATTTCAAGAATGGGCTGTGAGGACCTGGGCAGCATCAGGGGGAGCAGGGCTCGGGGCTCAGGGGTAGCCAGAGCATGGGCAGGGCTGGGAGATGTGTGAATCCTTTTGTCATGCGACGTTTTTAAGTTGTTTTTCTAAAAAAAAAAAAAGAAATATATATATATATATATATACACACATATATGTATACAAAAACCCAAGTGCCAAATGCAATGTTTTATGTTTGCTGTTCCTTGGTGTCCTGCTTCCCGGCAGACAGGAGGTTGAGGGGGGTGATGGGGAGGGTGGAGAAGGGAAAACCTGAAGGCCAGGGAGGTTGGGAGAGGTGTGAGGAGGTGAAGGCGAAGCGGGGTCGGCGCTGGGGTCACCCCCGAGCACCCCCAGCCTGTGAGGTGTGAGCGGAGCCGCCGTAGCAGGAGCCTCCCTCAGGGAGACTCCAGTGTATTTACAGAGCTGAAATTCTATTTATTCCTTCGCTGACTATGGACACGGAGGTTTTCTGATTGTTCAGAGAGATTATTTTGGATATTTTACCTATTAACTTGCTGTGGCTGGGAACCATGATAATGTCTGTTATTAACAACCACCAAATAATTCAATTGTTTTATCCTTTTGATGTTAAAAGAAGAAAGAAAAAAAAGCTTATTTTCCATTGACAGTGTAGAGGTTAATAACGACTTAGTTGTGTTTGCTGTTTCTTGTTTTGTTTTTTGAGTAAAAACAACAAAAAAGTGGCTTCAGTTGTGTTCGGGAAGTGCTGCCTGGCTCTGGCTGCCGGTGCTAAGTGCAGGTGGCAGAGCTCCAGGGAAAGAAGCTTAAAAGGGGGAGGGGGGGAGAAAAAGCTTGAATCCTAAAAGAAATAAAAATTATTTATAGAAAGCAAAGAAAAAAAGAAAACAAAAAATCCTCCGACAGTTGCATCAGTGAGGCTGCGAAGTCAAATATTCAATAATAAAGCGGCAGTGCCTTTCTTTTTGTATCCCCCGCTCGCCCCACTGCAACTGTCCCCTCCCTGTCCTGGCTGAGATGTCACCCCAGCGGGGTCCTGGGGGTCGGGTGGGCAATCCCCCCATCCCACTGCTCGCCCAGCTCCAGCCTGGGCCCCCCAGGACCTTTTCCTGGTGCTGTTCCCCCGGGGAGCCCAACGCTCAAAGCGGCCTCGGGCGTGGAAGTGACACCACGGGGACACAACCCCGTGTCCCTTCAGCGTTGTCCCCATCCCCAGGGACACCCCGAGCTCGGGTGGGTTGAGCTCAGCTCAGCAAAACCCTCCAAAAGGGTTTAGGGTGGCCGAGGCAGGGCAGATCCAGCAGGAAAATCCCAAACGGTTGGGTCAGCACTTAGGGAAGCGATTTCTGTTGTCACCTTTCTCCATGTCGGGTTTGGCTTTCGGGATGTGCCTGATGGAAAATGAGTCCCGCAGACGTCTATAATTTGCACACAGCGACGATAACACTAAAGTTGATTTTATACGAGTCATCAGAGTTTGCAAAAGTGAGTTTTATTTTTTGTATTCCTTTTATCTTTACTTAAAGGTGAATGTGTATTCCTCTGGGAGGAATAGGAAGAAAAAAAAAAAAAGAAAAATACATAAAAAAACAGGAATGTTAATAATGTTAAACAGAATACTTCCTCCCTTATTAATATATATAACCCTGATGTATTTATGCCTATTGTAAGCTGACTTTAAAGAGCTTTGACCTCTCTTCTGTTGCATGCCGTTCCTGGGCAGCCTCTCCTTGTCCATGCATGCCTTTTGTCCTGGTTTTTCTGTACAAAGTTAGTGCACAAAAGAACTATTTTTGCCTAGTTAATGTTGCCGAGCAATGCCTATTTTTTAAATTTTAATTTCTTTTTTTTTTTAATTTTAATTTTTTTGGTCATATATGGCAATAGCATGTTTGTTACATGTAAAAGCTTCCCGATATAAAGAAATACTAATGTTTGGAGATGCCAGTCTTTGCAAGTGTACAGTTTTCCAATGTTGTTCCCAGTGAAACACCCTTGTGATTTCCACTTGCTCCGATGTATTTATTACTCATTTCCTCCCGTGTAACTAGGAACCATGGCTATATTTCATATCTGCGCTATATTGAAAGTGAAGGGAGATGATTAATACAAGGTTTTGTAACACTGGGGTGTGGCGCCTCCTTATTTATCCCCTTTTTGGCAGGCGGCTTCGGACTCCTTAACACAAAAAAAAATCTGAATTCAATAGATGTTCATCCCGTGGGCAGGAGGGGAGGAGCCCTCCACAGTTCCACAGGGGGTTGGGGATCTTTATTTAAAGCCTGTGGCAGAGCTTCCAAACCCTTGGCATTCCCCAGGCAGCTGCCTCACTGTGCCTTTGCCCCAGGAGCTGTTTAGATACAGGATTTTGGGATTTTCCTTGGAAATGAGCAGAACTGGGGCTGGAGCAGCTCGGAGGCTGCTGAGGCACACACAGGCTTGGCCCAGAGCCTCAGCATGTGTGTGTGGAGACTTTTGGGGTGGGATTTTAAGGCTGGATTCTTTCTGGCCTTAAACCTGCACGTTTCAGACCCTCCTGGGGCTGGATCAAGCAGGAAAGGGCGCTCGGAGCTGGTGCTGCCACTTCCCGTGGATCTCTGCTGTGGGAAGTGCCAAGGGCAGGAACTTCTACCCCTGGTTTTTCCATATTTTCTCAAACTGAGCCTCCACATCTGCAGGCTGATCAAGCCTGGCCCTGCAGGCTCTCCTCTGCCTCATCAGCCTGGCCATTCCTGCATCCAGGTCCAGGGATGCCCTCCAGAGACCTCCTGGGTGTCCCAGACCCTGCACAGGGTCTGTCCCTGTCCCTGCACAGGCATCAGGGTGGCTCAGGTCCCCCACGTGCAGCAGAAGTTGCAAATTCAGGTTATTTGAATACTTCATCTGCTGCTTCTGCTAGGATGAGGCTCCTGCTGAGCTCTGCAAATGCTGATGGTGCCAAGATCCCAAAACCCATGTCCTCAAGCTCCTTCTATTTGGGATGCTCCCAAGCATCTTGGGCCACTGTGTTCAGTCCCACCTGAATTTCCCTGTCCATCCACATCCACAGCTCACAGGCCGTGGCTCCCTGCACTTGTTGGGAATTGGCCTCCCTACACAGCTCAGACAAACCTAAATCCCACAAAAAGCCATTTCCTTCCATGAAGTTTGCCTTTCCAGGTCCCTGTGCTGCAGTGCAGGGTTGTTGCACGAACAGAGGATGGAAAGAAAAAGGAAAAGGCAGAAAAACCTGAGTTATAAGGGCTGAAAAGGCTTCAAGGAAAGTCCATGGTAGTTGTGTTAGGGAGAGTCCGTGGGTCTGCTTGGCAAAAGGAAAGAGCCTTAAAAAAGGAAAAGCAGGAGGGAAAAAAAACCATTTCGGAGCTGTTCCAGCAGCTGCTGGGCTGTGGAGATCCCAGCAGGAGCTGGGTAACCCCACATGTGTTAACATGATCTTTTATTCCATGTCTGCCTATTCCAAAAGATGGTGGAGAAGCAGCCCCAGCCCTGGAGCCAGGCAAGTGCCCCTTCCAAGGAGATTCTCCTGTCCCTTCTCCCTGACCTGGTTCCTGGTGTGGGTGCAAATTCCTCATAGTTAACAGTGACTGTTAAATATGAATATATATAAATATATATATTTTAATATAAATATTATATATTTATATATAACTATAACTATAACTAGAAATAGAAATAGAAATATACCTATAAATATACCTATAAATATACCTATAACCATAAATATAAATATAAATATAAATATAAATATAAATATAAATATAAATATAAATATCTCAGGGAATACCTACCAGCAGGCAGGGATTTCCCACTCCAGGGAAGTTTTTATGCAAGATGGAGAGGGCTTTTCCAGCATCAAGGAATAATTAATTCCCCACATCTGCTGGCAGAGGCAGGGTGATGTTGCTGGCCTGGCTGCCAGCCAGGAATGCTGCCAGGATACACAAATAACCAGCTGCTCCTGGCAGCCCAGGCCAGCAGCGTGGCCACTTCACCCTCTGCCACCCCCAGGGAGCTGCTCTGGCTGGGGTCAGCAAAGGGGTCAGGAATTCCCACCTGGAACGGGCACCTTGGCTCATGTGGGGCGCTGGAAGGGGCAGGATGGGTGGTCCTGGCATGGGATCACCGTGGGCACCTGATACCCACAGAGCTCCCCATGGCTTCTCCCAAAGCCCAGCACAGGTGCCTGGAGGAGCAGAATGGTAGGGAACAGTTTTAAATTAAAAGAAGAGAGATTTAAATGAGGTGTGAGGAGGGAATTCATTACTCAGAAGGTGCTGGGGCCATGACACAGGTTGTCCTGAGAATCTGAGGCTGCTCCATCCCTGGGAGTGTTCAAAGCCAGGATAAACAGGGCTTGGAACAACCTGAGGTAGTGGATGGACAGAAGACAATATTTTTTTTTGCAAGCAAAACCATTCTGTGTTTCTATGATTTTTCCCTTTTCTCTATGAAACACCCCATTGACAGAGCCTGCTCAGAGGAGATGTGGTCCAGCTCAGCCAAAATCCCCTCTTTTCTAAAGAAAATCAATTTTTGGGCCAATTTTAAATAACAACAATTTTTTTAAATACCTCATCCTGGCATGTAGCCTTTGCTTTTGGACAAACCAGCTCCATCCCACCCCTGCCAAGAGGCATCACGGGTGGGTTGTTGCAGCATCACCCGGCAGTGGGATGCAGCAGAGGGGCTGCGTGCCCCTGACACCCCCAGTGTGGCATCGGGGTGACCCGTGGGCCTCCCAAAAACGCGTTTGCAGCCCCATGGAAGCCCCTGGCTGCTCCTGCGGGCTCAGCAGAGGGAGCCACACATTGCGTGTCCGGGCATCCCTGGGCATCCCTGAGCTCGCCTCCATCCTTCCCTCCCTCCCTCCTGCTTCCCTGCTAAACCTTTCCCGTCCTTCTCTTTGTCTCCCCAGCTGATCTCGTGAAGAGCAATGGAAAAGCAGCTGTAGGAGGTGAGCACAGAGCTGGGGTGCAGCCCCCCAGAGCCAAGGGCTGCCACCCTACACAGCATCAGAAACAGAGTGAGATCACAGAATGTCCTGAGCTGCAAAGGTGTGGGACTCAGATTCAGTCAAAAAAATAAACTGAGAGTTTCTAGCCAGGCAGATGCCTGAAAAAGAGCTGGAGAAAATGTAAATAATTCTTTATCTCTCTTGTTTTTCACGTTGTTTATAGTTAAGTTCTATCCCTGTGCATCAAGCACTCTGCACCAATGTTTTAAGTTATTTTCACTTCAAAACCATTAAATTTAGTCCTTGCAAAGCTCTGTATAAAAGAGCAGTATATTTTAAATAAATCAGAGTTTTACTCTCAGCAGCCTTCTAAGTCAGAATCATCTCATTCCCATCCTGTGACACAAGGGACCCACAAAGATCATCCTGGCCCTGCACAGACACCCTGGTGTCACACTCACTGGGGTGAGCTTTTCACCTTTGCTTCACTGCCGCAATCCTGGCGTGGAGAAGAAGAGCAAACAGGGGGAAGGTGGCACAGTTCACCTCCCAAAACCACCCCTGCAACACCCCGACACCAAAAACTTGTTAAAAACGACAAATAAATTCCTTGTGATTATATTCGTTGTGTATTTTAGCAACATTTCTTTGAATACTGTGATTTATTTTCTGTCGCTCCCAGGCCAAGACTTAATTAACATGAGCTTTAATGTTTTATGCCCCCTCAACTCCTAAATCATGAGTGCAACTTCACAAACAACTGGAAGGCAAAGCTTTTCCTAGAAGTTCTTTCCAGGAGCTGGCCAGGAGGGCTCAGCCAAGGCTCAAAGGGCACAGCTGACCACAGCTGTGCTCCAGAGAGCAGAGCAGGAACCAGGGGCAGTGAGGAGCTCTTGGAGATCATTAAGGAGCTCTCCAAGGTGTGAATATTGTGGAGGCTGCACGAAGCCTCTGGGATGATCCCAGCCCTTGCCTGCAGCCATTTGGTTGCTGGAAGGCAGATTTTTGTCTAAAAAGAGCTTAATTTGGCATCCAGAGCTGGAGGAAGTTGCCTGAAGTGAAGCATCCTGGTGGGTTTGGCAGTGCTGGGATAACTGCTGGGCTCAGTGGCCATGGAGGGTTCTCCCAAGTTTAATAATTCCATGATAAAAACCTGCACCTAGAGGTGGAACACAGAGCCAAAGAGGCCAGGACCTGGCTGGATTTGGCACAGGGATTTATGGACTGGTCATTCACAGCACAGGGGCAGGAGGTGATGGGAGACACCCAAAATAACCAAAGTGAGAGAAAAAACCCTCCAAAGAACCTGCTCAGATATTTTCCCTTGACAAAATAAAATTGATAAGCAACACATAGCACAGGAGAGCGTCAGGAAAGGAATGGAGCACAGGATAAATCATGTGGAACCCTGGGAAATGGGGCAGGGCAGGGCAGGGCTGGGAGGATGTCCCCTTATTCAACAGGTTTTGGTCCTTCTCTTTTAGCTTTCTGTTTCAGGTTTTGGGTTTTTTTGGTTTTTTGTTTTTTTTTTTTTTTTTTTTTTGGTTCGTTGTTTTGTTTTGTTTTGATTTAGTTTGGTTTTGAGCTATAAATCAAAATATTTGAAGCAGAATACTTTGAAGCAAAATATTTTTTCGCCCCAGTGAAAACAGATTTTCCCATGATGGCAAAACCAGTGCGGCTCCTTCCCAATCCCACACCTTAAATAAAAAAATAAAAAATTAAAAATAAAGGGCAGGGATTAGATAATTTCTTGCAGAAGTGCCTGTTTTCCCAAACAGACCATTTCCCACCACAAGCAGCAGCTTTAATGCCCAGCTGTGGGAAAGACAGAACTCAGCCTCACCACAAGGATGGGGCTTGCCAATGCTCCTGGGGCTTCCCAGGAGCTTTATTCCCAAACAGTTCAGAGCATTGGGATAAAAAGGACATAAAGGGTTGGAAGAGGCATTATTTATCATCCTTTCTCCCTTCCTGACCACCACAGTGGACACAGACCCCGTGGTCCCCCTTCCCTCTGCACTTGGGCTGCCTTGCTCCTCACGAGTCTGACATCCATGCATTTTATATTTTTTTTTCCCTGAATCCCAGCAATATCTGCTTCCTGGGAGGCTGGAGGACAGTAGGAATGGCTTAAAGCCAATCTACCCACCCTGCACCCCTTGGGGCAACCCAACCCAACCCAACCCTGCCTTCACCTTTGAGGTCCCTTGTCACAGATGCTGATGGGATTTATTTGTTCAGGTAAATTGAGCATCTGGCCAGGAACCAGGAATTTCCTCAGGCCAATGTGAGGCCTCCAGGACAGCTCAAGAAGGGCAGAAGAAGGCTGTGAAAGCCCCCCAAATCAATGCCAGGAGCAGCCACTGCCACTCACCACTCCCCCGGCTCCAAGGAGCAATAAGAAGAAGGTGACAACAAATCCTGGGGGTTTTTTTGCTTCCCAGTCACCAGCTGGGGACTCACCTGTGGATGACAGCACCACCCATCCCAACACATCATCCATGAGTGAAAAACATCTCCCTGTGCAGTGCCATCACCTCCAGGTCCCCCAAGGATGCTCCCACTCCAAAGGATAACATTTGGCTTTAATGTTCCAGAGACAATGGACTGGTGAGCAGTACAACAGGGGCTGTACATCCTTTACATATTTACACACGGGGTGTAGTTAAAGCTCCTGTGTTTGCACAATGCTGACATCCCAAAAAATGCACTGAGATTTACAACAGCAAAAGTGGGAACAAAATCCAAGGCCACGAGTAGAGAGAGGTATGTTTTAAGGACTACAGGTCACATAGAAATAAAAAACAGTGGTGGTGCAACGTGAACTTTATCCTGAATAGAGATAAGTGGTTAAAACACAACTTTTTTGGTGCCTCAGGACCAAGACAGTGTTTTAAAGAGACTTAATTTCCAAACTAAAGCAAGGAAAGAGAAATAAGTGTACTGGTGTGTGCCCCTTTGGTCCTCAAAATCTCCTTCCAGTCGAGCTAAAAAGAGAGGTTTACTGCCAACTTCAGGCAAGAAAGATTTAAGGCTTTTCAGCTGGATATTTGTAACATACTGAACTGAAAAGTTTGTTTTCAGGAAAACAAATGCCATGGAGTTGGTGTGGCTTAGCAATGTGCAGGACAGCTTGTTTACACCAGAGACAAACACTGGTACAGCACCTAATCCTACAGAACCCAGGACAGAGGATGCTAGAAAAGATTTTTCCAATAATGCTGTGAAGGTCCTCAAAGTAAAATTAGTGTAACTAAACAGATGAGCTTGTTCTCCTTGAAAAAGCTCTTTAGGCCCAATCTGACCAGACATGATTTTCATTTTGTTTCCAGCTGGAGCAAGAGGGAGGGAGGAATGTTGGTGAGATGGAGCTGGCCAGAGCAGGAACTGCCCTTGTGGTTCATGGACAGGACATCTTGGATTGATGTCCAGCAAAGCAGAGCCCTGGGAACCTGTGGGCATCCACCCCCCTGGCTGACATCTGTTATGCAAGCTCGGTGTGAGGAGGGTGGTTTTCATTTGTGCCTCATCTTTTCCCAATTAAGAGTTACAAAACACTCATTAAAATGGCAACAAAGCAGAAGTTCAGCCAAGTCCAGCTGGGCTGAAACTTTTTGTACCAGTTCTGCCACTTACAGAGGTTGCCACATACACAGGGAAAAAAAAAAAAAAAATGTGGTTTGATTCTTTCTGGTGGCCCTGGAAATGCTTTTCTCAGCTGCTCTTACGAAATGAGAGCTGTTGTCATTCCAGGTTACTCTGTCCTGAAATAACCCAACCTGTCGGCAGGGAGGGGAGGTACCATGTGCTGTGCTCAGGATTTCGTGCTCACCTTTGGTCCCACATTGGAAATGGAAACCTTGGAATGCTTGCAAATCTTCATTTCCACATTATCAGACTAATTTTAGCTTCTTGGTCTAACCCATGGAAATCCAAGAAGGAAAGCTCATGATATAAATATCATTAAAAACCTCTTTGGATGCCTCAGTACTCTGCAGACAGACTGCAGGGTTTTTTCCTCTCCTCTGTTAAAGTTTCCTTAAAAACAGTAAGAAACTGACAGTTCAAGTGGTCAGACATTCTGAGGAACAGAGAAAAAGGTGCATAAACCCCTTTGTACTGAGAGAGGGCTGTGCCCCAAATAATTCAGAAGTTAATTCCCTGCCTGTTAAGAGGATAGGAAAAATGGAGTTTACACATTTCTCAAACAAAACAAAACAAAAAACCACAGCAAAGGAAGGTTAATACTAGCAAGAATATAAAACACAGCAGAGGTAACAATTCAGAGGTATAACACACATATCCAGGTACAGAAACAGCCACTGCAGGACTTGCAATAAAACATAGTCCAGTAATTCAGGACAATCCCAATCCTACAAAGATCCACATTCTTTCAGGTGTTTTCTGTGCTGTTCCACATCTATTCTAATAAACACAATTATTTCATAAATATCCATTTCACTCCTGAGCCCCGCTTCTCTCCTGACAGTTGGACATTCTGCATTATGGATGGAAAAACATCTCCAAACTCCTGTTTTGGCTTGTAACTCTGTGACATCAGCATCAGTGGGAATCCAGGGGGAGCCTCCCTCATCCCACCGTTCCCATTTGCCACCAGAAGCCTTTCACTGCACAAAGACTATGACAACGATTCACGACAATTTAGTTTCGAACTGGGACGTGGGAACAAGGACAGACAGTGACACTGGGACAGAACAATCCAGAGTGCATCCAGAGGGTACCACACTTTCAGCTCCTGATGAGCGTCAGGAATTCTTCGCGGGTCTTTGGATCTTCCCGGAATACCCCCAGCATTGTGCTGGTCACTGTTTTACTGTTCATTTTCTGCACCCCACGCATGACCATGCACATGTGCCTAGGAGAAACCAGAGGGGAGTCAGGGCACCAGGAACACTCCTAGGGAAGAGCAAATCCCACAGGGAGAGATGTTTCTTGCACGGTCCCATTCAATTCCACAAAACCTCCACCAACACAAAGGGCATCAGCAGCACCTCAGCTGTGGAAGAGTCACATCCTCAGCCACTGAGCTCTGCCTTCTCTCCTCTGATCCCAGGAAATTCCCACCTTCCCAAGGTGCATCCTGGCCACAGGACATGCCAGCTGCTGGTCCCAAGCTCTGCAGTGCTGGAGGAGGAGCACAGAGCATGGATCTGGGGCAGTGGGGACAGCTCCTCACTGCCACATCACCACAGAGGATCAGGCAGTGCTGCCTTTAAATGGCTCCAGCACATCAGGATTATTAACTTTGTTATTACCACTAGTAATATGTTATTATTAATAGGATTGTTGTTGCTGTTATTACTAATCCCTCTGCCTGATAACCAAGCATAGCACACAGCTCCCACAGCCAAAGGGGCAACATGCACCAGCCCTGCAGCACAGGGATCCCACAGAGCCATGATCCTGTGGGAACCTCCAAACCCCCAGAATGATCCACCCATGGAAAACCTGGGATCCCACCCATGGAACATCTGGGGTCACACAGAGCCAGGATCTCACCCATTGAACACCTGGGATCACACAGAGCTGGGATCTCACCCCTGGAACTCCCAAAATGATCACACCCCTGGAACTCCTGGGATCACACCCCTTGGATTCCTGGATCCCACCCCTGGAACTCTTGGATCTGACCCCTGGAACTCCTGGGATCACACCCCTGGAACTCCTGGGATCCCACCCTTGGAACTCCTGGGATCACACCCCTGGAACACTTGGATCTGACCCCTGGAACTCCTGAGATCCCACCCCTGGAACTCCTGGATTCCACCCCTGGAACTCCTGGGATCACACCCCTTGGATTCCTGGATCCCTCCCCTGGAACTCTTGGATCCCTCCCCTGGAACTCTTGGATCTGACCCCTGGAACTCCTGAGATCACACCCCTGGAACTCCTGGGATCACACCCCTGGAACTCCTGGGATCACACCCCTGGAACTCCTGGAATCACACCCCTGGGATTCCCCCCCTGGAACTCCTGAGATCCCACCCCTGGAACTCCCAAAATTATCCCACCTATGGAACTCCTGAGATTCCCTCCCTGGAACTCCTGGGATCACACCCCTGGAACTCCTGAGATCCCATCCCTGGAACTCCTGGGATCACATCCCTGGAGCTCCTGGGATCCCACCCCTGGAGCTCCTGGGATCACTCACGTGGCTTCCACGACGACGCCGACCCCGGCGGGCTGTAAGGCTTCTGTGATGGCGATGGCGATTTGTTTGGTAAGGCGCTCCTGGACTGAGGGAACAACAGGGAATTCAGACTCCAGAACCCCAGAATGGTTTGGAAGGGACATCAAAGCTCATCTCATTCCAAACCCCCCACCACGGGCAAGGACACCTTCCACTAGACCAAGCTGCTCCAATCCCCATCCATCCTCTCTTCCATTTTTATCCTGGAACAGACCTTTTATTTTCTTGTTTATATTTGGGGCCATTTTGCATTCCATCTCTCCAGCCACAATTTGTTCTAACAGCTCCTCCATTTCCTATTTTGCAAAAGGATTTTCTTGCCTCTCTGCTCTGCTTCAGTTTTTAATATATTTGTTCCCAATGTTACCGCTGCATCATTTATTCCACACACCCAATTTCTCTTCTTAGGGAAAGGAAACAGAGATGAAAAAAGAGCTTTGTCCTGCAAAGCTTTACTTCCTGCAGCTCTTGCACCCTCTATTCACCAGCCTGGTGGTCACTGAGACTTCTCTTGCCAGGACCAGGCCAAATTTAAGCATGGGACAAAGGCAGCAGGTTCAGCCCAGCCCAAGGCTGTGCATCCTGCAGCTTCCTCTCCTTAGGGACAGGAGGCAGCTATTGCTCCATTGCCTCACACAAGGATTCCTGCAGGCATCTCTCCAAATCTCTGCAGGAGAGCTCATTCCCAGCAGCATCCAGCTGGTTTAGTTATTCCTGGCAGCTCTACCTGGAGCACATTCCTCCTTGGAATCAGTTCCAGCCTCCATTTAGCTTCCTAGGCAGAAGTTACCTTCACTGGGAATGCAGGGGCTAAAAACAATAGCATAACCTCTTCAAGAAGCATTTTTCTCCCCTCTTAAACTCCACATCTACAATCACCAGCCCCCAGCACTGACTAGGGGAGGAGTGCACACAACAAACACCAAATTTCGTGTTTACCTTGTAATCTTCTACTGTATATTTCCACGATCCTAAAGGAGAAAGGAAAAAGACAACATTACATTTAATATTATTCCCAGCTGGCCACTGACTGATCTTCACAATTAATTTGATGTTGTCAAAAGAGACCCCTGTGCTGCTCAGTGTAAATCCATGGCTGTGTAAATCCCACTATTCCTCACAGACCTGCCTTGGCACTTTGCTGTGCTGGGTGAGAAGTTCCCCCCACCTCCAGCACCAGGGACTATTTTAGGGCAAAGCAGTCACTTCTCCTCTGGTCTGGAATTCCTTGTATTCCCATCCACCTACATCACACAGTTGTGGGGGAATTCATGTCCAAAGTCTCTCTGAATGCTAATTCCTGAACATTTCCCTGTGCTTCAGACTAGACCAAATGCTGCCTTAAGGTCAGCTCAGATAATGGATGCCCAGAATGCTGAATTTGAGCAAGAAATATTTTGAATTTTTGCATTTAACCACAAATTTAGCTGAGAACAATGAGACAGAATTGGTCTTATTTAAAACAGAATCTCACCCCATCCTTCACATTTCAGGGCAGGGATCACCTTTATGGTGATCCTCCAATACAACTTAAAATTTAAGCCATGGGTGGGTAGTGGAAGTGACACCTAATGACAGCTCTAGAATCCACACATTTAAAAAAATCCATATAATTGCTCTGTAACTCCAGGGGTTGTTCATGCCAACAATTAATGCTTAATTACACTTCAAGTGGCCACAAAAAGGAGTTGCTATAGCAAGCTTTGATACCTGTCTGGTCACACCAGACAAAAGCCAGACACTGGCTGGCAGCCTCAAGCATCACTTACAAGAATCGTCCGTGACAATGAGACTCTCCTGCTGTTTTTGAGAGAGAATTAAATGCACAAACTCCCCTCCAGCAATGAAACGGTTGTGTTACAGCATAAAACACAGCAACACAATATTTAGATTAACTATATGGATAGGAAACATGCTCAGATACTGCACAGAAAAGTCCCAACAAGGTGTTTATGCAAAAACAGTTGTTTGAAAGAGCATTTTCAAGCCTGAACTTAAAACCCAGAGAAAGATGTTTGTTTACTGAATGCAGGTCATCCACAACTACAGAAACTCACCACATAAGACTAATCCTATTATGAAAGATTAGGCCTAGAGCACCAACAGCCTCACAAATCTTTGCCTGAACACTGGTTGCATTATACAGAGCACGAAAGGGAGGCATGATTTGGCCCCCCAACCTCTTCATGGCAAGCACTCAAAAGTGAGAACATTTTGTTATACAAGAATCTAATCTTTTCATTACTGCAGCATATGGGAGTTTCACCCTCACTTTAGAAAGAGGCAAGATTTAGCCTTTGAGCACAGTGCAGGAAGCCTTGCACATATTGATGCAGGTTGCCATTCTGAGGATAAATAATAGGAAAATTGTATCTTTCCAGCACCATGCTGCCACTTGCATTTAAAAAATTCCATGAAAAGCATTTTGAGCTCCTTTTTACAGTTGCAGTCAAGAGAGAAATAGAGACCAGAGCAAGCATAAATCAGTGGATGCACATTCCAAATGTGACCCTTGATCCTGCATTGGAGCCCTGCAGAAATCAAACCATGTGCTGAGGGCAGTCTCCTCAGGAAGGATGGATTCTCTTCAGAAATCCAACTCCAAAAACCACCAACAGCAAACCCCCCAGCCCTGCACCACTTAAAAACCCACCCAAAATTCAACACAAGCCGTGGGATGCCACACACATCCCCAGGCATGAGCAGCTAACAGAAGGTGAAGACTTTTGCCCAGCAGCTGCAGCCCTGAGAGCTCAGAACCTCAGCCTACAATTCCAGCACCTCCTACAGCCACAAAAAAAAAAAAAAAAATCTACACATTAAACCCTTTCCAACCTTTTAATCAGAGCAAAACCCACACCTAAAAGCACTGCTGGGGCAGGGAGATGCCTCCATGCAGTATGAGGTTACACAGCAGAGCTGTGACTTCCAAGGATCCTTCCACTTCCAAACCCAAATCCCTGTTGTGCAAGCAGAGCACAGAACAGATCTGGCTCACTTTAGGGCATTTTGCTGTCATATCCCACACATTTCTTACCTGCTAAGAAAACCCAGCAGGCAGACAGATTTGCAGGACTAATTTCTCATTAGTGTAACTGGAACTACAGCAGGATTAACAGACCCATCAGGGAAAGCAAGACCTATGTGGTCTTTCTGAGCTTCAGCCAGATTTTTAGGTTTGTTTCTCAAAAAGGGACCCTTCCACTCCGATCCCAAATAATCTGCTTATTGAGGGGATCTACCATCCTCTTCCTCATCAGCGTGAGAAAATGTCACTTAATAACTAAGAGTCAGTGTTGAGGAAAAAAGCTATTTTACATCATAAATGGATTTCTCAAGTGTATAACAATTGCTTTGTTTCTTGGGCTGAACTTTATCTATAAAATCTACCCCACAGCATTCTCAGCAAGTTTTCAGTGAAAGAAAGAAATGCCAATTTTTTTTCTGAGGAGTCAGCTAAGAGATGAAAGCTTTAGATTGAATTTATATCCATATAATGTGTTCATTTACAGTCTGAAAGTTTTCAGATTTTTGTTCTCATTAGTCAATTTACACCCAAGTGTAAAAGAGCTGGAAATTCTCACTGGTTTTTGTGGCCTGCCTTAGAACAGAACAAAATTCTCTTCTTTGCCTCAGAGCTCCCTGCAGACCCCAATGCTTTGGGGGATCCTACAAAAGCATCAGGGCTCTGCTGCAGCCACTGGTGAGAATTAACAGAGAGCTCCAAGACTTATCTGTCCTCTCCACACAAATAAAACAATGCTGAGGATTGGTCTAAATCCAAATCCAGGACACAAAGTGGGCTGAGCTTTAGAGGGAGAGGAGATTAAAAAAATCAGCACAGCTAGCACATCTTGGGATTTTTTTTTTACAAATTAGCATCACTTTGATTAGAACACTTACCTAGCGAGCTTGCTGAGGCCAAGCACTTGTTTGTTGGGAAGATAACCAATGTGTACCTAGACAGGGGAGAACAACCATTAACAGCAGCAAAACCACCCTTCCAAGGGCATGTGAAACCCATGCACAGACAATGAGATGTGCACCTGCCCCAGAATTAACTCTGGGACAGCCCAGAAGTCTCAGCA